CAGCTCAAGGCTAGCACTCTACCACTTGAGCCACAGCGCCACTTCCAGCTTTTTTCTTTTTGCTTATGTGGTGCTGAGGAATCGAACCCAGGACCTCATGCATGCAAGGCAAGCGCTCTACCACTGAGCCACCTTCTCAGCCCAACAATGAGAATTTTTTTAATGCCCAGAATATTTATTTGTTTGTTTGTTGGTTGGTTGGTTGTGGGGCTTGAACTCTGGGCCTGGGCGCTATCCCTCAACTCTATAGTTCAAGGCAAGTGCTCTACCACTTGAGCCACAGTGCCACTTACAGTTTTGTGAGTGGTTTATTGGAAATAAGAGTCTCATGGACTTTCCTGCTCAGGCTGGCTTTGCACTGTGATCCTCCGAGCTCAGCCTCCTGAGTAGCTAGAATTACAGGAGTGAGCCACTGATGCCTGGCTTAATGCCCAGAACATTTATGATCCAAACATTAGGCCTAATAAATGATAGGAAATCTCAATCCATTTCTTATATAACTAGATGTAGCGACTACAGTGGAAACCAACATACGGAGAAGCAGGAGGCACATGTTCATCATGACCCCTCATGTCTCACACAGCAAGGAGTTTGTCTATGAGCAGGAGATTGCCTTGCACAGCGCCCTCATCCAGAATGACTCCAAAGTGATTCTTATTGAAATGGAGGCCCTGGGAGAACCAGATGCTCTGCAGACTGGGGGTCTTCAAGAGTCCCTCAAGCGCCTTGTGGAAGTTCAGGGGACCATAAAGTGGAGGGAAGACTACATGGCCAACAACCAGTCCCTGAATTCTAAATTCTGGAAGCATGTGAGGTACCAAATGCCAATGCCAAGCAAAGTCCACAGAAAGACTTTTGGTGTGACTGCCTTGAACGACCAAGGTCATTAGTCCTTGCTTGGACGTGTGAATGCAGCAGAACTTGAAGAACTGACTTCTCAGAGCTGGAATGCTGCACCATAGCAGAGCGGTTACAATTACATGAGTAAGGTGATAAGTACATTTCCTATGGAGCATTGTTACCCCGTCCTTTGTTTTTCCCCTACCATCCCTTCCCTCCCCACCTCCCCAACTCTTCCTGCCCTCACCTGAAGTTGTAAAGTTCATTTTTAACAGTGTCTTGTGCATCTCTTTGTTATAATGGATCAACCTGTATTCCTGTTTCAGCATTTTGTTATTTCCCTTCCTGTCCCCAAGTTAGAAAAATGTATATATAAGATGCAGGGCACCAGAGTCAAATACAGTGAAAAAAGGTTATACCATGGGAGATAAACATACAAAAGAAATTTTTTAAAAATGACATAGCATGTTAAAAACAACAGACAAAGAAAAAACTTCTTGTGTCCCTATCTTGGGGTTCATTTCACTTAGCATCATCTTATATGGTCATATATACATAGCTTTTGAGCTTTTCAGCTCATTGGATAAGATTATCCTATACATATATTAGTTGTTGCAAATAAGGGAAACCATGGGACCTATGTTTCTTGTGGCTTATTTCACTAAATTTTTTCCAAGTCTTCCCATTTCCTAACAAGTTGGGCAGTGTCATTCTTTTTGATGGAGGCAACGAATTCTATTGTGTATATCTCTATCTATCTATCTATCTATCTGTCTGTCTGTCTGTCTGTCTGTCTATCTATATCACATTTTCTTGACCCATTCATCTACTGAGGGGCCTCTGGGTTGGTTCCATATCTTAGCTATCCACCTAGCATTTTTTAGTATGCTTTCTATTTAATTCTATGTCTTATTTTCTTTCTTCTCATTTATTAGCAATAATCTTCATTGAGATCAAGCTAAAAGTTTTAGTTTGATATCATGTCAAAGAACATTCTGTTTTCCATCAACAGAACACTAATAGTAAATCATGTTCCCCATAAGGCAGAATTTATTATATTTTATTTGATAGTTGCTCAGTTTTATTATCTAAGTATTCCCAATTTTATTGGAATGTTTTACCAAATATCCATTAAAGCCAATGAACCTTTTCAGTTTTAAAATTTCTTTCACATCTCTCCTCTCCTCTCCTTTTCTTTCTTCTTCCCTCCTCCCCTCTCTCCTTTTTCTTTCTCTCTGCCTCTTTCTTTAGCTACTGTATTTGAATTTAGGCCCTTAGTTCCCTTTATTTTTAAAATACTGGTTACTTTTGAGATAGGGTCTTTCTTCCTGCCCAGGCAGCATCTGGACTGTAACCCACATATCTCAGGCTTCCTGACATAGATGGAATGATAAGCATGCACTGCTCTACGTCCATACACAGCCTCTTTCTGTTGAGATATAAGATATACTCTTAGGGACGTCCCTCACTGGATTGGCCTAGAGCTATGATTCTCCCAATCTCAGCCTCATATGAAACCAGAAAAATATATGTGTACCACTGTGTCCAACTATGTGTTGAAAAGGGGCCACACAAGTGGTATGACTCAGGGTATACTGTAATATTGCTGTCCTCAGCCTCCTAAGTAGCTAGGATTGCCTGGTTCATCTTTTCTTTCCTTCCTTCCTTCCTTCCTTCCTTCCTTCCTTCCTTCCTTCCTTCCTTCCTTCCTTCCTTCCTTCCTTCCTTCCTCTCTCTCCTTCCTTCCTTTCTTTCTTTCCTTCTTTCTTTCTTTCTCTCTTTCTTTCTCTCTCTTTCTTTCTTTCTCTGTAGCACAGGTATTCCTGAAACTTGTGATCCTACTTCCTCAGCACCCTGAGTGCTAGAATTACAAGCATGCACCATCTGGGGGTGGGGGGGATCGGTTGTCGGGCTTGAACTCTGGGCCTGGGCACTGTCCATCAGCTCTTCAGCTCAAGTCTAGCATTATACCACTTGTGCCACAGAGACACTTTAGACTTTTCTGCTTATGTGGTGCTGAGGAATCGAACCCAGGGCCTCATGCATGTGAGGTAAGCACTCTACCACTGATCTACTTTCCTTCCCAGTCCTTTCCTCTTCATATATATATATATATATATATTTTTTTTTTTTTTTTTGCCAGTCCTGCAGCTTTGAACTCAGGGCCTGGGCCCTGTCCTTGAGCTTCTTTTGCTCAAAGCTAGCACTCTACCACTTGAGCTATAACACCACTTCCAGCTTTTCCTGTTTATGTGGTACTGAGGAATCGAACCCAGGGCTTCATGCATACTAGGCAGCACTCTACCACTAAGCCACATTCCCAGCCCATCCTCTTCATATATTTTTTAATCTCTTTAGAAATGTTATTTTCTCATTATAAAAGTAATAGAAACATTGTAGAAGGATAGGAAGACTAAAGGAATACAATAATGAAATAAATCCCATATCTATCATTTTAAGATTATTTTTGTTAAATTGTCTTCTACTTAAATGAAAAAAATTGTTGTTGTTGTTGTTGTTTTTTTGTACAGATACTGGGGCTTAAACTCAGGGCCTTGCACTCTTACTTAACTTTTTGCTTAAGGCTGGCATACTACACCTCTACTTCTGGCTCTTTTCTGGTTAATTGGAGGTAAGAGTCTCTAATTTGTTTGCTTTGGCTGGCTTCTGGATCCTCAGATGTCAGTGTCCTGAGTAGCTAGGGTTACATCCATGAGCCACCAGCACTGGAATTTACACATGCCATTCATAAAGCTGAAAAGCTGGAATCATGTTTTATAGAGTTTTGCGTTTTTCCATTTAACATCACAAAGAAAAAGCATTTCAGTTTTCTGTTTGTTAATTGGAGATATGAGTCTTATGGATTTTCTTGTGACAGTTGGCTTTGAATTCTAATGCTCAGATCCCAGCTTCCTGAATAGCTAGGGTTACAAGCATGAGCCACCAGTACCTGCCTCCATGTATTCTTTGTTTATATTTTTTAGTTATCTTTAAGTAGTTGTACTCAGGGGCTTCAATTAGCCATATCATTGCTGTCCCTACCCTAAGGAACCCTGTATTCTTAATCTGTATCCTTGGCTGTATTTCCAGTTACCATACAGGATACCTTTTACAATTGAGTTCAAAGAATAAAAATTTCATCTGAAGCCGATCTAAAATCCAAAGTTAGCTGACATTTTATAATTTGTATTTTCTAAGTCTGGCTACCTTATTCTGGTAGATTGTTAGGTGGTATCACCTTTGTTTTATTTGAATATTGAGGTTGGCTAATAGAAAGGATGCTGTATATCCAATTGACTTGTATCACAGAATTTAGATCAGCAAGTCATTCCATTTTTGATCTGACAGCTGTGTGATCATGAGTAAGTTCCTGCTTATCTTTATAAAGCTTAGTTTCCTTAGGTAATATGAAAATAATAATATGAAACATACTGTATTTCTGTGCTAATCATGAAGGAGGAGCAAGGGGTGGAGAGGGAGGAAAAGTAGGAAGCAGGAGAAGGAGACAGAGAAGAACGAAGAGAAGAAGAAAGCAGAGGAAAAGAATGAGGGGAGGAGGAAGAAGAGGAGGAGGAGGAAGCAAAGAATGAGGGGATGAGGAGGAGGAGGAAGGGGAGGAAGAGGAGGAGGAGAAGAAGAAGAGGAGGAGGAAGAGAAGGAGAAGAGGAGGAAAAATAGAGAAGGAGGAGGAAGTTGAAATTATTGTTGAAATTGTTATTGTGGTTTTGGTAGTAGCAGTGACAGAGTAGAAGTATTTGTATCACAGAAATAATTCAATATACGGCAACAGTTGTAACTATAAAACCACTATATTTCTACTAATACTGATTGTATTCTGTGACTTTTCTCAATGAAAACCTCTAAAAGAGTAAGAAATGTAATCACTACCTTACTTAGTTAACTGTAACCCCTCTGTACATCACTTTGACAATAAAATAAAAAATAATTAAAAATAAATAATTAAAAATAAATGGAAGTATCTCACACACACAAAAAGACACCTTCTCTTTCCAGTTTCATTACTGGGAATAGATATGCCTTTAACCCATTTCCCTACTCACTGAAGAAATTGTTTTCTTTTTTAAAATTTATGGACATAGGAAATTGCTTTTGTTTCCCTTTGTACAGTAGCTATTTGAAAGCATAGAGCTACCTATGAGATCTTTCTTCAGCAAGTAAACAGGGTGTCACAACAAGGAATTAACTGGTGATAATTTTTTCTTGGCTCCCTAGCACCTTTGTTTTCTGTGTTTCGGTGTGCCACTGTCTGCATTGTAAGCCCCTTTGCAAGTAGTTGACAAACATTTCCCTGTTAAGATGTGTACTGAGTGCCCAAAGACTGAAGATGGGTTATGACGCTGAGTCCAGTCACCAATGTGTGTCTGTGCCTGGGGGTGTTGGGAGACCTCCTGTGGAAACTTGGAGGGAGAGAAGCACTGGAGAGACCCCGGCTGGATGAGCTTGGTAGAAACTCTCCAGTGTTGTGCTCTTTTTCTCCTACTCTTTTCCTAACTTTACACACCATTTCCTGTCACCTCAACTCTCTTGGGTTCAGTTTGTACAAATGGAAAATGGGAGAATGAAGATGACCCCGAGGGCTTTCTTAGCTCCCAGAGGGTCATGATTTCAAGCTGCTCATGCCTAAGAAGGTCCCTGAACTGCCTGATATTTGGATCCTCCTGACAATATCACTCTAATTTCACTGTGTGAAGAGAGTTAGAGAGCCACAAGGTAAGGACAACAAAACCAATTCAGCCATAACCATTATGGTGGAAATGCCTACGAATTATAAAAACAAACAAACAAACAAAAAACAACAAAGAATTATTTGAATTGAGTCAGATTTGCACACAATCAAACATGTCTCTTTTTTTTTCTTTTTGGTTGTGGGGCTTGAACTCGGGGCTTGGGCCCTGTCCCTCAGCTCTTCAGCTCAAGGCAAGCGCTCTACTGCTTGAGCCATAGCTCTACTTCCAGTTTTCTAGTGGATTATTGGAGGAAAGAGTCTCACGGACTTTACTGCCCCAGCTGGCTTTGAACCGCCATCCTC